AGATGTCTTAACCACTCGACCACCGAGCTTGCCGGGGTCGGCTGGTTGGTCGCAGTCACATGAAGCAGCCAGTACTGCGAACTATTTTCAAGATGTATTTCTGCATGTTGAGTGAGAGATTACTACTGTGTAAATCTATTGGTATTACATGCGCAGCCCTGCATGCGACAAGCGATGGCCTTGTGGCCTAACCCCTTGACGACAGGAATTTTTTTCCGAAAGCCGACTCCAAGAATTCAAGCCTCGCTTGGCCACGAAGGCCACCTGCCAAACCGCAAATTCTCGGTCTGTGGCCCTGTGTGCTCTGCACGCTTTGAATTACACAGGGCTCCATGTATATGTTGGACACAATTGGCCGATCTGCTCGATCGTGCAATCGCTCTGAGTGATTGGCCAATCCTGCACGAAATCTCCAACTTTCCTTTCCTTTTTTGATACAATCTTTCACAACCTTCAAGAAAATGCGATTGGCTGATGGCAGATTCATTGACAAAGTCATGCACTAAGATCATCTGACGATGCAGAGATCTAGCCATCTTTGTTATAGAACAATCCAGAGCAACTACATGTACATGCAGTAAGAAAAAATAAAGATTCAAGGTCAACCCTGCAAATAAATGAAAGGGCAAACAATCATATTCTGTCTTCTTTCTACACATACACATACATGTGTAGTTCTCTTGTATAACATCAAAAGTTCCATGTCTTTGTCTTGATGATATAAGGTTTTTCAGTGAGGGAATAACCTCAAGAATGAAAAGGTCAATATTTTGGCAGTCAAACGAACCTAACTGCCATCTAGGCTGAGAGTTTTTTGCAAATATATTCCATAGACAATTTTGAATCAGCTGCGCACTAAACGCAGTATAAAGCCTACTATGTGGTTTGAAGTCTTTAGGTGTGTATACCCACACAGACTTGGCATGCCACGAATTTACATGTACAGTTGGTGTATGATTTTTACAAGCCTCCTTTTCCAGTCATCACCGTGAACTTAAAACTTTTTTTTTATTTTTGAGCAGCTGATGAATAATTAGAATGATCCCTGGACCCCATGATACATCAATACATCTGGAACTGTATATGTTGGGCGTGATCGGCTGATCTGCGCGATTACCCAATTGCTCTGTGCGATTGGCCGACCTTGTATAAAATCTCCAACTTCACTTTCCATTTCTGAAACAACTTTCACAATTGCAAATTGGAAAGGAATGGTGATTGGCTGATGGTGCAACTGTTGACAAATCATGACATGCATAAGATTCACTGAGCAAAGATCATGTGACTGCACAGGTCGTCTAACCCACCTGACATATGAAGATGGTGCAGCACGAGTAAAATTATTAAAAAATGATCCACAAATGTCAGGTTCAGTCCTCTTTGAAAGTGGGGATTTATCTCACTTTAATTTTATTGAATCCAAGACTGCTATGACTTGAGTAAAAAAGTATTTTCAAGATGAAGGCCGTGTTTGTTTCACATGGATCTAAATCATGATCAGTGATCCGTTGTTGGTTTACAGACACCAAAACTTGCCCAATGAATGGATGTATACCAGCGTTAGGATCACTTATCGAGATCCAGATCCGTGTAAAACAAACAGGCCTGGGTAGGGACATAGACTAGAACTTTCGCTTCAAAATGGGTCCACCTCTCCATGTCCCAGGTCACTTGCATGCATAAATTCCAAACATGGCCTCGGTGGGCACAGAGTACTGTGTGAAAACGTGATCCAGAACTGTCAAGATCACTGAATTGTAAAACGGGAAGCAACATTTAATTAGGCCTATGCCTAACATCATCTAGGCCTGCATGTTAAAACTGACGTCAGTCAAGCCATTGGATTGGATGAGTAGCAGAATACAACAATGCTAGTATTTATAAGGATTTTTATGAACAACACTGACGTCTCCTTGAAAGTACATGTACTGCACGATTCACCCAGACTACAAACAAAAAGAGGGAAAGAGGTCCATATATGGACCACGCTTGATGCCCCTGTGTACGACTCAATGATGTGTTTTCTAAGTAGGCCTACTAGGCCTAACTAACACAGTAGCCTAAGATAAGAATATATGCTTCAGAATTTTCTCAGCTAGGCCTAAATTTCACTTGCTTTGGACATGTTGTTACTTTCTGTAGTCTGTCATCGCTGTTATAACATTTCAAGGGAAAATCCGTGTTGTCCGTATACGGAACTCTTTCCCAAAAAGAGAATTGGCGTCCCCTCTCCAACTCCTACTAATCTTACTTGCCCCGCCCATTATGAGTAAAATTAAAAGTTCGCGACCATCGCTTGCTTACGTTGTCTGACTGTCATGACTGCTGGTGCACCATGGAATGCAAAAATAACCTGACATTTTCCGTCATTTCTCCCCTTGTCTCTCCGTATATTCCCTCGCTAAAACCACAGTATGGGGTAACAACCGCCTAAACAACAATGACAACAAAAAATTACCGTAGTAGCTGCTCACAAAACATCACATTTCAGGTCGTAAATTCTGTAGTTTCGCCGCTACATCGACGTCTCATCGTCCGCCATGTTTCTGTGAACTCCCGGCTCCCGGAAGTTCACAATTTATGCAAATTGTTTTCTATTTCACTTGAAGGAAAATTTCACCTGAAGGGAATCTTCAAATGACCTGAATTAAAAGCGTGGCAAGTTTTGTTGTCAAAATGAAGTACTTCCTGGTTTCTTTTACCAACAGAAAGTGTCGAGAATTGATCTTTCATAACTTTAGGGTCAAGTTTTATTTCCCGCATAGACCTTGAAAAAGGTCAAAGGTTATTTGAATACACGATTGCACATAACCATCAAACGACGAAGACCGAGCCAGCGACACATCTTATAATTTGGGTGTTAAAATGAACAGTGTGAAGACTTGAACTTTGCTGAAAAACACACAGGGACTCTTTTTTGTCATTCCAGATGGCCCGATCTTCTTTGGTATGTGTGATTTTTGGTACGTGAAACCATGAAGGAATAACACTCCGACCAGCTGACTGTGCTGCTGCGCGGCTTCAAGAGCCCTACGGATCTTTGTATGCAAATGCATTGTATTCACACACACTTTGCGGGCGAACAGCTGATTTCTGCCAATCCGTACGGTGCTGTGTCTCTTCCCGTCCAGCTCGGCTAGCTGGGCAGTGTCAGCTCTCCTGGGCCTGGTTTGGACGGTTCCCGGACTTGCATGAGCATTTCTCATCGCGGCACCGATTATGAGGTTTTCTGAGCATTTGGGTGCCCACATCACGCCAGAATGGCGCAAACAGTACATTAGATATGAGGTGAGTGCACTCTTGTTCTAGCAATAGCGCAACAGAATTTGCAGACACGCCATTTTTATTCTTCATTTCTTTTGAATGTTTAATGATAAGTTGTTTCTTAAATTTGACATGTTTGAGAGTCTAACATGCTAGACTTTGATGCAGTTTCTCTGTTTTTTGGTACTAGGGGCCTATTTATCTTTTCCTCGCAGTGATATTGTTACGCCCCAACTAATTATAGCATGCAGTCCCAACTATAGTTGGGCCCGTCCCAACTAGAGTGCTACAGTTGGGCCGGCTCAACTAGCAGAGAGGTCCTGTGTGCATGATGTGCCCAGCATGTGCCAAAGTCATATTGTTAACAAATGTCTTGTCATTGGTCATAGGGCTAGATAAACAGATGAAGTGCCACATTTTAGATGGTTTGTGTCAAGTGTGAGACACATCGACTTATAATGTTGAGACATTTCCCACAGACTTAGGTCAACAATAGTTGGGCCTGCCCAACTGCAGCACTACAATTGGGACTGTCCCAACTATAGTTGGGACTTATGCTATAGTTGGGGTGTAACAATATTAAATATGACGGAAAAATGTTGCATCCTGACTCCACTTCAGCAGTTGTGTACAAAGTCTATTGGGAGTGAAGACAGTTTTCTAACTATTTCCCAACAACTTTGGGAAATTTTTCTCAGTCCAGAATTCGTGTCTTTCCAGCATTTCTGTAATTATTGACTTTATTGAGATGATGAGAAAAGTGGAGTCAGGATGCAACATTTTTTCCAATATGAAACCTGCAGGCACAAAATGAGCATGATGAGCTTGATCCAATGGACCATTTTTAACATGTTGAATGTGGGCACGATCGGTTGGTCAGTTGTCCTGCACTGTCTGACTGTTGGTTGATCTTGGGTGAGATCTGTTGGTCCTGTCACCACAAGCCAATCTCTTTGACTTTGTATTAGGCTGTATGGATGAGACATGGAGGTAGAAGAGTATTTGAAAAGGGAAATAAAAGTACATACATGTACTTTGAGGTTTTGCACAGGATTGACCAATAGTAGAGCACAGTCGTCGATATCGATCAGCCACATGGATAAATGCACTATATTGGTAATATTTGAGGTTTTAGATTGGATTCAACAGGATGATTTTTTCATCGGTCTGAAAAATTCAATTTTATATTGATCATACTTGAGGTTTTAGATTGGATTCAACATGATGATTTTTTCATGGGTCTGAAAAGTCCAGTTCTACCTTGACAATTTTGTGGTGGAGAGTACGTATTTGAGATTTTAGATTGCATTTCAACAAGATTGATTGAAAATGATTTTTCATCAGTCTGAACAGAGTGATAGCTACACCGGTCGGTGCCGGTCAGGGATTCCACAACAGCATTCTATTGTCCGGCACTAAGCTTGATGAAACAACCCACCGACTGGCACAAAAATCCTTAAAAATCCCAGAAAAAAATCAGTCACTATTACCTGTAAGGATTTTAAAATCTGAACTCTTGACCAATGTGGAAAGAAAAACTCCTTGACAAAGCAATCTAGAGCCCCCTTAAGCGGCCCCTGGGCCCCCTTTTTCACATTTTTTATTGCACTAAAGCATCAACTACTCTATAGTATTAGTCCTAATAACCGTAATTGGGATGACTTTGTTATGTCCCATCTATAGCATCAGTCCCAACTACAGTTTAGACCATCCCAACGACTGTATAGTGTTTGGGCAGGCCCAGTGACAGTACAGAGGTCAAGTGTGTGCATGTGCCGAAGTCATTTTATTTATATCAACAAATTGTGCTTGCAGAAACAAGCTTTTATTTATGTCATGCATGTAGATGAAGTGCCATATTTATCAGTGAATTGTGTCAGGTGTCAGCTGCATAAACCTGGAGGAGGCTGAAAATTTTTCTATTGAAATTTGCTAACAAGTGTTGGGCCAGCCCAACTGCAGCACTGTACCAGCGGTAGGGACTGTCCCAACAATAGTTAGGACAGATGCTGTAGTTAGGGCATAACATATCCAGCATTAGTGCCGCAGTTTGGCTCAACTCGCAGTAATCACCAATTTTTTGGTGAAAATCTCTTCAGTGTTTGTGGAGTTTCACCCTCCCCCAGCAGAAAGTATGAAAAACTCATTGCCACCGCCTCACCCGTGAAGCGCAGGTGAAAATAATGCTAGCAGCATGCAGTCACTGTTGATACGTTCAAGGAAGGATTGAAAAGACAACCCAGCACCTCGCTGATGTTCGGCCTTGTCTCCGGACATTGCCCCATTCCTGGATCCATGCAACAGATAAAAACCACGAGCAAACAAACACATCCCCTGAGCATGAGGTGATACATGTGGTTACAACAAATACACCACAATCAGAGATGCATCCCCTTAGAATGGGATGATTGCTGGCAGACTATCAGAGATTACAGCGATTAACTAATACTGTTACATGTACATGCACAGTAGGTCCACTCATGTAGCACATGGTGTGATGCCCACCTGCATACTACATGGACACATACATGTATGTACGGTACATGATCATACGTTTTATACATGTCACTGATACAGTTTATCGTAGTAGCCAAATTGCACCACTGAACTTTGGGACTGCACCAACTACAGTTGGGACTGATGCTCTAGTTGGGTCATACCAACCACACATAAGATTCCGTTTTTAAGTCCAAGAAAATGATTATCTTACGCCCAACTGTGGCAGTGGTCCCAACTGTATTTCTGCCAGGTCCAGCTGTCATGGCTGTAGATTGGAAAACACGATGCATATGTACTGTAGCAAAATGCAGCCATTTCGAGGATCCCAATTTGCCTAAATTTCATGGAATGCAAGACTGGGACCTATTCAAGCGTTAAGTCGTTACTTTTCTACCAACATTTGGTTTATCGGCCACAGAATGCACATGAACAGAGAATTTACTGGCCTGCCGCCTTGTGGGCAATTACTCTATCCCAAGTACTGTATTATAGGAGGAACCGTTGCCGTAGTTGGGAACAAGATTGAAAGCATATGATCTGTTTAAAACCTTTAGGATGTTCGGCCTTGTTTCAGGGCATTGCCCTGGTATGTGCTGGGCCTAGACAACAGATAAAACCACTAGCAAACAAACACATCCCTTGAAGTGGTTGATAGTGGTTGGTCACATTATCAGAGATTACTGGGATAGCAGGTATTCTTCTCAACTGTGACAGGCTCAAAATAAATTCATGAGCTGATCATAGAAAACGTCTGAAAATACGGTTATAGTTTTTGGCAGTCTCAGTGCCAGAGAAAATACCATAGACTAATCCGATTAGATGCCATAACTGCGATGGCGCGGCACTCAGACACACATTCTTCAGCTTGACACGTGAAATCACGTCACCCTATTTGTCAAAGAAGTATGTTACACAGACATACCACCAGTCCACAAGCAGTGTGCCATTGCAGTAATGGCTTCAAATTTTGATGTCGACTTATGCCTCAGATGAGTTGCACAAAAAGTGATGAAACTACATGTGCATTTACTAGCAGTTAAGATACTTGCTACAAAAAAGTTGCCAGGAATATTTAATTGCCTACTTAGTCTCTAGGGAAAGAAAACAAAAATGGAGAGATTGCGATAAAATTATTTGCTGCATGCACTAACTAGGCTAAAAACCAATTGTACAGTTCAAATAAATGATGCAGGCGTTGTCATTCAGTCGTTCAAATTTGTTTGTAGTGCAGAGCTACACATACGGGAACTTTGCCTCACCGTCCAGTAATCTGTGAGGGTGAAATGTCTATGTATGAATTGACTTTTTGCTGGGGGGGAATTCAATTCAATTTTAATTTTCTTTTTTGTTTCGTTTTGTTTCACCAATGCAAACCTTCTTTTGTGAAGAAAGGGCAGTACCAGACCAAGAAATGTAGTAAAAATTATCTTGCAAATGTACACGTACATGTACCTGTACCCAGTATAAACATAAAAAAATCCCACATTTACATTGTAGGCAGAGTGTGCAGATGTGTAACATTCAAATACATGTAATGGGACCTTAATGTTATGTTTTTCTTGCTTATGGTTGCAACAATGTTTTTGCTTGTTTTATTTTCACTTTTAGTGAAACGATCAATGAATATTGTTGTAGATTGCTGTCACTTACAGTTTCATTCGTTTGGTAGAAGATACAGGTGTCAATTTCATGCTTAATGTAAGCAAATGAACTTTAATTCTTTTATATTGATCTAGGAGTTTGAAGCTGTGAGGGCATTGACCAGTTCTGTCTTTTTTTCCCGGTTAATGGGTCTAAAAATCATCAGACAGGTATAAAATCCAAAAGTCATTTTCTTTGCACTGAGCATGTTAATTAATAACGTTGCAGGGGCATGTACCAAAACTAAATGCCTCACACCAGATGTTGCATATTGTCAGCATCATTAAATTGGGGATTGGGGCTTGCTTTGACATTTATTTTTAAACAGTTGAGATAAGAAGGTGTTTTTGGAATCTGCTGCATGTTTTATCAGGTATGCGTTTAAAAATACATTGACATGTACTGAGGAAACATTGCTACATGTGATCAGCCAAGCTAACAAAGTCTGAATGCCAGAGCCATTGAGTTTGGAGGTCTTTGAAAGAATCTTGCACAGAGTCAGGAATCCTTAATATTCTTTACATACAAAAGGTCCACTTTCATCAGGATGATATGCTAAAAATAAGGAGTTCAGTTTGCTCTTTCTCATGTGGAATCACATTTTGTTGAGTGGGGACATATGGGTCGTTCCACAAAGTTTGGGCACAGTTTGTGACGGCGTCCCTTGTTACATCAGTGAAAATAAACATCTTTTTTCCCTGCATGTGGATTCTAAATTGACATTGTTCTAAATCTTGCTAGGTTCTTGTAGTGGTGTGCTTCATCTTTGCTGAATAATATGACTTAATCTGTCGTAATGTGAAAATAATGGGCAATGAAAGTTACCGATGTAACAAGTGACGCCGTCACAAACTGTGCCCGAACTTCATGGAATGACCCATATACATACGTACATGAACATGTACCGGTATGTAACAGTAGCAGACACAGGAAATGTCAGTGTGCTTGTGTGTGTTGGAAGCCCCTCAATCATTATAATGATTCCACATTTCAGTATTGTCTTTGTGTTTTCCTCAAAAATTGAGCACCCACTGAACTCAAGGTTTTAGACAGATGTCTCAAAACTTGCTCTGGTGATCTGGGGTTACAAGAGTTTTGTAGACCCGTGGATTGGAAAAAGTTCATGTGCACAGGAAGAAAATACCTCTTACAGTCCTCAGCACTCCAATTTGACTAAAAAACAAATGTCACAAATCCTTTGAGATTCAGAAAGATGATTTCTTCAATGGAAGAATAATGCTATGGACCTTGAGCAGTATGAATGGGAAAGCCAAATGATGCATGGTGTGGCGCATCCAGTGCTGAACTCTTGACCTGTAATGTATGCGGGTTTGGTGCATTCCATCTGAGCCCTCCTGGGGTGAGTCCACCTTTGGACGAAGGGGTCACACGGAGCGCTCTCGTGTCATTTCTCAAAAGCACGACCAGAACGTGCCTATATCCACCCGCTCTTTCTCGTTAAGATACAAATAGGAGAAAGGCCAGAAACAGAAAGGTTGATGCTTTTTAAACCACCCCCTCAAGATCTTTCAAAATCTGACGGGAGATTTTGGATAGACATGTTTGTTGTGGAAAAGTTTTAGGGAAAAAAAAAACCAGCGTTGAGTTTGTCACAGGTCCTTTGTAAACTCATTTTGCAAGTCCTTTTGCCAATCCTTTTGCAGGTTCAGTTACATGTAGAATAATATTAGCTCGCAATATGCTTTTTGTCACTAGTCCATTTAATAGCCAGGACTCGACTTGAGGTACGACTTGTGAGGGACGTGCACTGACTTGCGGGGACTTGTGATGTGCTCCGACTATAACACTGCCATCCTCTGGTACATGTACATCGCTCACGTCCCTTGATGCCCCTCAAAATGTAAAGTGCCAAGAATATCAATTTTTTTATGTACAGCAGTCAAAGAGGATTCAGGAAGGATTTTGACAGAAGTGCTCCCCAAGGTTTTTAAGGATAATGGATAATAACGTGTCTGCTGCGATTGCATGACAAGTGTCTGAGCAGCCAAATGAGAATCTCCTGCTGCAATCAAGGAAGCTTTTGTACGTTGTGTTAAATGATGGGGGAGATGCATGCCTGAAAAAGTGCAGTGAACTTGGCGATCTTGGCACCTGTATCTGACACATTTGCAGGTTGCATCTCACTGCAATTCATCATTTGTTTTATGAACACTGGACAGCAAAAGAAACTTGCCACTTCTGTCAAAGGCCACACATAAAAAGATTAAGATAATCACTTACTTTTGGGCATGTGATTAGGAAGGGGTATTGCAGCATAGCTGTGTACAAAAATTGTTTATTTCTGTGGAGTGAATTTTTATGTGTGGCCTTTGACAGCAGTGGCAAAGTTTCTTTTGCTGTCCAGTGTATATTTCAGGAGTGTGTACATTCACTGTATGTATGCTGTTGCCACCTGAAAAGGCACATGTAAGTTGAAATCCTGAAAAAACACGTTCATATACTGGTATAAAGTCCTGTTTACTGGTACTTGACTTTTTGGTTTCGTTTGTTTTTCAATTTTCAAGACAGGTGTAAAAAATTGTCAAGGGAGGAGGTCTTTTATTTGTTTGTGTTTCTTGCAAGCACAAATTCTCAAGTGATTAATGGGCAGTAGAGCCATAAATTGGGCAGTTGCGCATGGCTGGTTTGGGGAGGAGAGTGGGATGGGGGGGAGGCAGGAACTGCAAGAGTACATACATGTACATTGTACATGTACATGTATACCATCCTCTCTGTTCTACTCCGAAATAAATATATCAGAAGCAGGGGCTAGATGGAAGTACTGTGCTCCATCCATGATGTCAAAAAAATGAGAGAGGTATAGTACATGGATGAGAGACACTTGAATACCATAGCTACTGGGTGTCCCCGGTGCGCCCATGTGCAGCATAGACATTACCAGGCTTGTGTACTTGGAGTAGTTTCTGAAGGTCGCGTTTTGTCCACGCCACTGGCATGAGAACCACTTTGACCTTCACTGGTTGTTCTCATCAACAGTCCATGCAGTGTTATCTTTAGGCTCTGTCCCTCAGTGACCAGTTCATAATTGTCTATATATTTTTCTTTTTCAAGCTGCCCAGCTTTTGTAGTTCTCAACGGTTGGATGGTGCATCTGACCCGTCCACTGTTGGGCCGTCCAAAGTCTGTCAGCTCGGAGTCACCCCCTTCGTATTGATAATAGTTTGCCGAGCTTGCCTCTGCACCTTCACCAGTTCAGTGACTCAGGGAAGGTTGAGAAGAGATAGATAACTAACTTCCCTAATACACCTGTAGACACATGACGCCATTAGTTAGCTACCGGCATGATTCAATCTGCATGATAAATTGATGATTAAGAGGGTATATGTACGCAGCTCTTTCTCCTGTAATCTCCACATACAATGCAGTTACTTCTGTTACAGAGGAGTTTTAAAGACTGTCTGTTCATGGTTTAATTTTACTATCCGTGCAAGTGTAACGGTGTTATTCATTTTCTATAATATTATTGATTTTTTTTTGTCAAAAGAGGCTAAGAGAGCTTTTGTCCGAAATCTGTTACACACAGTCGAAATGGAAGAGTCTCCCGATGAGTGGACCAAGTCAATTCTGTAAACTGCACTGGTACATGTACCAGTATAGTCAGCAAAATCCACCTGGAGTGTGGAACAACACCTAAATCCTGTGTACATTGTCGGTTTGTTTGTTCAATGGAGCTCGGGAACAAGACCCTTGCTCTGTGTTTGTTCCAATCCATGTGCAGGTCCAACAAAACCCAACTGGACTTACATGTTACCCCCCCCCGTGGTGCTCTGTGCACCACACAGGCTCATGTGCCTGTACATAATAATAGACATCAAATGGGCCTCATTTGTAAGCTTCATGCATAGAGCTGTATACTTCATGCTGCCCCACAATGCTCCCCAGTTGGGGGGAGAACCAGCTGGCGGGTTAAATTCATTCAGGGAGACTTGTAGTTCCAGTAGTCGTAGCATGGAAGAATATGGTTAGAGTGGAACTTAAACACTCAACTGCTTTTTTGGAACCATCTAAGAAGGGAGGGGTACCGGGTGGTTTTTACCACCGCTAACAACTTGGCCATCCTGTACCTGATTTTTTTTTTTAAACTGGGAATAGAAACACTTCTGATCAGTACATCTGTGGAGCCGTCAACTCAATTTTGCTTATGGTCTTCTTGTTACGGTCATTTGGAGTTGAAGGCCACACACGCCAGCCCGTGTGCATTGAGCGTGGCAGTGGAAAAGCATACATTTTCAGCTGACCCGTCTAGGGAAAAATGGCCGCTGCCAAAAAATGACGGCTAAGAGTCACATACAAAATTTCCTAAAATCTCGGCTTGTGAAAAAATGCACTGTGGAGATATCAGAAACACAGTTGGGGGAGAGGGGAGATTGTTCCCCTCTGGCTCCTTTAGGATGTAACAGGTCAGTTTCTGCTTTGAGGTGAATTTTCTCTTGCATTTAACATTTATTTCATTTCTTAAGCGTCATTTCTTTTAACAATATTCAATAGCACTGTAAATATCAAAATAGCAAAAATAATATGATTATACAATAACAATTACATAAAACTACAATTAAAATTATAATTAAAAATTACGAAACTACATGTAAATTACAGGTTCAACTTATGCTTAATAAAGCATAAATTTATATGAATAAGACCTTGTTAATTATAACATTTATTAAAAAGGTGCGTCTTGATCCAACGCTTGAACTCGTTTTCATTTGTAATATCTTTCAACTGGTTTGGCAAAGAATTCTACAACATCAGTCCAGCTATAGCAAATCCCCTGTTGTTAAGTTTATTATACGATCAGGGAACCTGAAGACTCAAGGTTGCATTTGACACACTTTTGAATGAAAGGTTTCCCCCTGTTACTCCTGGTGAGCTTTGAACGCAGGAAACAGTGACTAAGTTTGATAATTGGTTCTGTCCTTTTTCCAGGAACTGAAGAATCTACTGTATGAGGCCCAGGAGTCAGCCCCAGACCCCGAGGGTGAGTGCTGATGTGCTATTTGCCTCACGTTTTAGGCCAGGCAAACAGATTATGTTTTCAAGTTATCCAACCCAGCCAGTACCCAATTTCGTGGCGCTACCACTAAGTACTGGTACATGATTATATGCAACAGAGGTTACAAGTATTTCAAGGAGACCGTAAGCAGTAAGCTCGGCAGAAGGCACATAAACCTTGAAGGAAAAATTTGCTGAAGCGAGACGTAACAATGGGCATATGTACATATGCATGCATAACCACAAGCACATTCTAGTAAGCACAATTTTTCTGCTGTTAAGCAGCTCCGTGGAAGTGCTCAGAATCTTTTCTTTTTTTTATTTGAAAAGTTGAATGTGTAGAAAACGAGGCCATCCTTGGAGGAAGGAATAATTCTACCTTATATTTTTTGACCAAAAAACATTAGATTAAAAATGTTTCACCCCTGTATCCACCCTAATTTTGTTTTGATGTACCCGTTACATGTAATACAGCCATTTTGGGGCAAAAGTGATGTCAATTTTGTGGCGTCTGTAGTTGCCCGTTCATAGCTTTTCTTCCCCTGTAACCCTCACTCGCCAATTTGAGGTGAAACATGAGCCATACTTGACATATTTAACCAAAAGTTAAGAATTTGAATGCCTTAAATCTTACTCTATAGCAATATTGATAGCACAGTTCAAACGTTTTAGATCTTCACTTCACAAACACTACCAAAAAATGATTGGGAGAGAGATAGGCAAAATATATCACCAACCTACAGAAAGAGCCTAGATACAGGAAAAATGAGACTAGTATCTCAAATAGCAAATATGGTGCTGATTTTTGTAACTTTTGACGAAAGCATGACAGAAAAAGCCAAAGATAACGCTGTTTTGGGCATTGTAATATCTTGAGCCTGTTCGGTCTTTCAACAGCACATGCCCCAACTGAAATGCATCTGAGGTCATAGGCCCTATCAGTGCCGTTTAGCACAGCCATTCCCTGCCTCACGCATGTGCTTGTTCCCATAAGACCTTGCCTTTTTGAAATACTGGACTGGCTCATTATAAACAAAAAGCTTTGATTGAGTCGATGCGAACATCATAACGGTTTGCACCTAGATTTTCAGTGGATCTATTGCCATCGATTTTTAATTCTAGTTTCAATTTTGAACTCAAAGGATTTGGAATTTTTGAGTCCCCCTGGAAGAGTTTCTCAGTCGTTAGACAGAAAGTTTACTTGTGTTTGAATGCCCGAATGAACCCAATATTGATTGCATAATTTGGCAGTGTCTGGGGAAGCCATAGTGGAGAGGCATTATGCCAAATTCGAGGAGACGTTTCTGAAACTCTGCGAGAAAGAGCTGACCAAAATCAACACATTCTTCAGTGGTAAGTTTGTCTACAAATCTTGTTTTCATATTGGTAAAAGTGCATAAAATACATGTTTGAGGCCGCATCTGAATCTCTTGTCTAGAGCAAGGTCCACATGTAGGTCTTCGCTCCATTGGAAATGCGTGGAGACGCGCAGACAATAGACCTAGCCGTAGCTCTGGAAGCCCGTTTCGGACACGGCCTGATTCAGATGTACTGGTACCATATAAAAATGGAATAATGTAGTTGTAAAATAGATAGGTACGGAAAAAATTGAGAAGGAATAAAAGACTAGCCCCGGTAGTTTTTGAAAATAACATGGACGGAAAAAATTCAGTCGTGTGGTTGTTCTCATGTATAGTTTCACCCCATGGGAGGGGAACACGGGACAAGGCTAATCTGATTGTCCTTCAACAGCTGATGCTAGGAAATGATCAACTTCCATTTCATGTGTCAGTTCCGAGCTCCTGCGGCAGGGTTCTCCGAGGCTTCCAGGCATGAGGGGATGATTTGTAGACACACTTGTGGGGTCCCGCTGTCAGGTGTAAATATTGTCATCGTTTCCTCTGTGGCAGGGAGGAAGAGGGTAGCATGGATGGGACAGTAGGGAGGTGAAATATCTCCATCAGGGGTTGAATCACTCAATTGCCGGGGGAGGGGGGATTTCCAGGTTTCCCTGGATGGCTTAGATTTAGGCTTCTTCCTGCAATTGTCAGTTTCTTATCTCGTCTGTTTTGATATGATTGGATGTGATCGGAAGACCCACCTTTTAAACAACCTGTTCCTAGAAAAACGTGTTGCATCTTTGGGTCAGCAGGGGCAGTGACCTCACAGTCATAGTGCCTCTTTTAACCTGCTGTGGCCTGACGCACAGGTACAGGCTTGGTGTACCTTTTTCGGACATTTGTTTAAAAGAATAAAATTCCTGTGGGCTACACATTTTTGGGCACATTGTTTCAAACCCAGTGATAGGCCCCTTTCCTTTGTATGCAAAGATGGTCTCTTACATGTAGACATGGTAGTAGTTATTGTTATGAAACACCAGAGACAGCTTGCTCAAGGCTCTCACTGCGGATATTCTTAGATTTGTGAATTGCAAAGCTGAGGGTGTTTTGGGGCATACTCGAAAAAGGTAAAACAAGGAGCTGAACCAGGGGTTGTACAGGGTAACTGTCCAATAACGCTGGATTGCCAAAACATTCAACCGGTGTCCAACAAAACAGTGATACATGTACATGTAGCTCAACTGGTGTTTAATAAAACAGCAATACATGTAAGTCAACTGGTGTCCAACAGTTATTGGCTACACCTGCCGAAAGGCACCCTGAATTGCCTGAATTAGGTTCACAGGTACACGGGCACAACTTCAGTGTGTTGGAAATTCTTCACCTTGTCTGATTTCTCCTCCCGTGCCTTCATCGACAGAGAAGGAAGCGGAAGCCATGCGGCGCTTTGCGCAGCTCTCGGATGAGCTCCGGCAGGTGGACTCGCAGACGGTGGCCAACAGCGCCACGCTGCGCCGTCGCCGCAGCAGCATCTTTCTCCTGGACAACAGCGAGGTCAAGGTGGCCAAGTCGGACCGGCGGAAGGTCAGCGACCTCAAGCTGGCCTTTAGCGAGTTCTACCTCAGCCTGGTCCTGCTGCAAAATTACCAGGTAGTCTCTTTTTTTTAGATTAAGCTGTGGGAATAATTGGGTTTGAGGACTCAAGGGACTCACCTTGAGTAAATTGGAGGCTGCTGATTGCACTGTAAGACTGAGGAAGATAGTAGAGGTAGAGAAAAGGATAAAAAGAGCAGGGTCTGGCCTGCGATCAGAGTCGGGCCAAAAATCGTAAACTGAAAAATCAAGTTTATAAATTGTTTATCTTGAATGTTGCTAGCAGCCAGTCACTCCCCCACAGCCAGGTGCATTTCTGTTTGGCAGAATTTAATTTTCTTTAACCCTAACCCTCCTCAGTCCTCCAACAGGTGAAGGATTGAGGAGGGTTAGGGTTAAGCAAGAAACATTTAGTTGATTTAAAGTCTGGTGCAAAAGAGAACTTCATGGGAGGGGGAGAAGTAATGCAGGAAACACTTCTGTCTCACAAAATAGTTTCTTTTTTCAGTTTTCAAAGAATTTCCTTCATTTTGGATGAAGAATTCTAGAATATTTAGAAAAAATAGGCTCGTGATCCTGGACTTTCTTAAATGCAGCCAAGTTTTTCCATATTTGTGAGTTAACTTCTCCAGCAGTAGTAGATCATTTCAGTACGTTGCGAGTTCTGCATGAGAAAGTATTAATCTATTTAATGATGCTATTTATAGCCCTAGCAAGTCCTGCATGAACGCTGCGTAACTAGATACAGGGATGTATTTACCAGCTTTTGTGCATGATCAAACATAACATTAACACTCAGAGACCCCCCATGAGTTAATGGTATGTTTCATGTCGTGGCTACACTGCACCTTTCATGTACAAACTGGAACCAAGTTACATGTATGTAAACCAACTAACTGTGGTTCCTTGAAGAATACAAAGGACTGTGTACATTATATTGAGCTGATGGAAAAAGTTGGGGATATCTTTTGGAATACCCGCTGCAGACTTGATCGTGAAGTACAATTTTGGAACATTACTGGTTTATTATCATTTTTTAAGCAGAGCCAGATGGCTTTGAAGCCCCTCTGTCCTTCTGCTGTGAAGTCAGATGATTTTTGTGGTTAGAATCCCGTTTGATAAAATCCTTAATAACCGTAACTGTAGAAGTATGATATTAACAAGGTCCAGGGTTCGCTTTCTTTTATCATCTTTGGTCCTTTCTCCTTTGTCGCAACAGAAACTGAACTTCACAGGGTTCCGGAAGATTCTGAAGAAATATGACAAGATGATGAAGAGCGTGAAAGGGGCTGAGTTTCGGATCTCAAAGGTGGAGTCAGCGCCATTCTACACCAGCAAACACATTGACAATCTGATCCTTGAAACAGAGGTAAAAGGAGTTTACAGAATAGTTTTCAAAGGAAGAAATCAGGGAAATTGTGCAGAATGCAGCGATGAGAATGGTCAATAAAGTTCGCAGATTCCGATGTTGCATTGTTAGTACTATTTTCCTGGATACCAAGATAATAATTCCACAATATTGCTCATGGAGTTCAAACCAAACCTCAAGTTTAGTGGCCTAACTACTCACCCACTCGTGGTGGTTAAGACAAACATCCTACAGTCTCTCTGAGTAGCAGGCCAGGATTTTTATGGGGTCTAGTGTCTTCCTTGCAGACGTCCTACATCAACGACTTAGAGGAAGGCAACAGACAGAAAGCTATGAACAAGTTACGGGTACCTCCTCTAGGGGCAAAGGTAGGTTGACAACAGTTTATCTCGTCCCTTCATAATGTGACATCACCCGTAAAATGGGAATATCACCCATGAAAAAAACCAAGAGAGGATAAGGGTTTTACCAGCAGTGAAGGAAGCAGCAATCGACTTTTCGTGTCCTCTGAGATAATTTCATGATGCTGTTTTTCTTATTTTCCTTTGATCAGGGAACCAACTGGACCACATTTCGCATGGGCTTGTTTTCAGGAATCTTCCTTGTCCTGCTGCTGCTCATCATATTAGCAGGTAGATCACTTTACCTTTTTTCTCCTCCCATGAATCTGTAGCCTAGTGTTCACGCTTACGAATCAATGCCAATCAAGGTCCTTTTGAGTTGTGCTGCCAGGACTAAACAAGTGTAGACTCACTGAGCCTGGACCATTTTCTCAAACTCTAGCTTTGTATCTATCTCTTGTACCATCTCTTGCTGAGGAATCAATGGAAAGCTTTTGATATTTGAAACCAGATGGAAAAACAGTGAAGTAGTTATGTGTCCTGAAGCAGACCTCTGAGCTGTAATGTGACAAAGTCCTCCAAAATTGTGGAAATGAAATTTCACAAAGCCACTGCCAAAGATGTCTAGAATTTGAAAAACACTCCAGCTGCGGATCTTAGAACGCTATCATTAATATCGTTATTGACCCTGCTAAAGTCCAGGGACAGTGTTAGGGTAGAACTAGTACTCAGGTTGAGATACATGTGTGAGCCTGTTCTTCATTCATTTCTGGACTTGAAGCGGGATTTACTGGGCCTCGGTTTTTATCCTGAGATCAGGTTACAGGCTGCATCCTCAAAAATGTTTCATAGGCTCCTCACTTGGTTGTTCATGACTCAGTATAGGCCAGCCCTCTGCTGCAGGAATACCAAATCTTACAATCAGCAGCCAAAGTTTTGAAAGGCATCATTTCTAACACTCGAAGACTCTAGACATTTCACTCTAGACATCTCATTGACTCAAGGACCAGTGTTGTAGTCGAGACCTTCACAAGACCAGACACAAGACCATGTGCCAGACCATGCACAAGACCATGCACAAGTAACAGGTTGAACAATGACAAAGGAATGCTTTTGTTGCAGTTCATTTGAATAGCTTGTGACTTGAATGCAGACTGGAGATCTTGTGCTGGTCTCGTGTGGTCTTGTGAAGGTCTTAAGTGGTCTCGACTACAACACTGTCAAGGACCAAAGAGGACGCCAAAAGCTGTTGCCAAAGTTGAATGTATTGGGAAATGTTGGCTGTTGTCCAGTCTCAATCCTTGGGACATGACTCAACTGTAATGCTTGTGCCACCGCATCGTGCCTCTCCTATTTTAGGTGTCCTCATCCCAGTCAACGAAGACTGTTGGCCGGCCGTAAGGATGTACCGAGGAATGTTCCTCATCATCCTTCACATCTTCCTCCTGGGTCTCAACACCTACGGCTGGAGGAAAGCCGGCGTCAACCACGTACTTATCTTTGAGCTGGACCCTAGGAATAATTTGTCGCACGAGGATTTTATAGAGGTGAGTCTATTTGCATGTGCCGTGGGATTAATAAGCATTGGGTTTTTTGTTTGTACAGGCTAAGGCATACTTGTAAAAGGCAGCAACGGTGTGGCTGTAGTGGCCAACAGTTGTAGAGACAGGAAGGAAGTTTCAAATTTTGCAGATGCTTCAGTGAATTTTCATTTTTGTCGATTTCCGTCTAGATGTCAATGTTTTTTGCGGACCTGTGGGCCATCAGCATTTTAGCTTTCATCTATTTGAGTTTACTGCCCAGTGTTCCGAGCTACATCAGTCCGCTCATCCTAGCTTGCGTGATGGTGGTGTTCTTGCTGAACCCTACCAAGACGCTGAACTACAGGGCTCGGTTTTGGCTCCTGAGAATTCTGGTGAGTTTTAAACTGAATTATCACATCACTGGGTAATTTTTGCTTTAAAGCATGACCAGTCGTTTCCTCAATAAAACTGTCACGGGGATGCTTAGGCATGAAAAATTGAAGAAACTTAAGGATATTGAGGTGGGACGGAAACCAAGGAAAGAGATTTTTTTATTGCAAAACCCTAGGAAAGCCGAGATGGAGAGAAACTTGACCTTTGCGTACCGAGATGCATGTTGGGAAAAGTACTGCTTCATGAGTCTTACACAGCAAAAGATTATTCCGTCACATAAAAGATTCATAGGAACCCAAATGCCAAATGTTGAATTTTAGTTTTAGTTTTTTCCCCACATAACGTGAATTTGTTTTTCCTATCTTGCAGGCGCACATATTAATCGCACCATTTCATGCCGTCGGCTTTGCAGATTTCTGGCTGGCCGATCAGCTGAACAGTTTAACAACAGTTTTGTTAGACCTAGAATTCCTCCTATGTTTTTACATCTGTGAAGTAGACTGGGTACAGACTCAATGTAAGCATCCAGTTTTTTTTTCATCTTTTAACCTGTTAAGAGAGTTGTGATGGATCCTGAACAACTTGCCACTGTTGCTAAGGAACCAGTCAAAGGTCACTTGGTCATTACTGTGGCAACTTGTTAATGCTTTTTGCTACATGGACCGGCCATAGCCATCGCAGTGCATGATACAGTATAATAATTTAATAATAATAATTTATTCATTTATAAAGCTCAAATTTCAAATAGATATCTTCAAATGCACTTAACAATGAAAGACATTAAGTATGGAACAATGAATACATTTAAACATGGTTGAGCCGATGGCATACAAGGGTGTCTCGGGCAGCCGCCAAACGACCCACATTCACCAACATCAGTAAAGGGGAGACAGTAAGAAGCAGTAACAGATTTAGAGGTGGGAGGAAAACCCCAGAGGAATATTCTGGGTAAAACCCACAGAGTCGGGTAGGGACTGAAAACCAAATCCACATGTGGACCGGGCCGGGAATCGAACCCGGGACCACAGAGTTGGAAGGTGAGGAAAGAACTACCTTGCCAACCTGACTCCCTAATGACTCCTTAATGGCATATCCAAAGCCTTTTGTAGTTCTAGGAAAGTCAAAAAAAGGACAACAGTGTTATGGGCAGAAACCCTGCAGGAGAACTGTGTCTCATGTCCTAATATGTGCCCTCACATTTAAACTTCGTGAGAGAGATTTCCTCTTCAAATACAGTACAGCTGAGACGAAAATACTGTTCTATTATACACGAACTGCCTCCAAGGGACACTCACATCATCCCGCTGATGGCAATGACAGTGGAAAGTAGACTTATTGTCCACTTGAAATTTAAACTCAAAAACAAACTCGACTCAGTATTTTGTGTAAAGACGTCTTGTATCCTGTCTTCCCCCCTCCAGGTTATTTTAACTGCAATACCTATTCGTATTTGGCAAAAGCCCTGGTAGCATGTCTTCCAGCCTGGTTCCGGTTCGCCCAGTGTCTTAGGAGGTACCGGGACAGCAGGCAAGCTTTCCCCCATCTTGTCAACGCGGGGAAGTACTCCACAACATTCTTTGTAGTTTTATTCGGGTCCCTCGTTTCAACTACAAAAGGTAATCTTAAATAACAGTGCCCTAAGGAACCAAACTTCCTCTCAGAAAGTTGTTTACATTGTTTACCTTCACCCAGAGGAAAATTTCTGGAAAAATCTGAAATATGTTTTTAAAGGGAGATACGGTGGATGTAGCTTTGTGATGAACGATTAGCAAGTAACACCGTGTGAGGTCTCTGTTGTGGGTTGTTGAGGTTCTTCAGAGAATTGGGGTACTTAACGTTTCGGACACTCTGCTCTGGCTGTCTTCAGGTGGACTCACTTCAGCACCCCCACTCATTCACAAGAGAGACTTCACAGGGTGCGACTGCAAACCTTCATTACGAAAATTGGAGAAGTGTCAGAAGCCCATTTTTGATGTACCGGCGCAGTTGCATTCGATTTTCAGTTAATCCTTACAAAGGATTTCAGCTGACCAAAATTTAATCGTAGTCAAAGTTGTGAAAGAATTCAAATTTTGTTGCTTGGCAATTTGAGAAAGTTTTGTATGGAGAAATTTGTATGTCCAGACGTGGTCAGTGGTTATTAATAAAAGTTGTAAAATCCCTTTTTTCTTTCTTTTTCTCTCTGTCAGAGAAATATCCGTCTTTTTACCAGAATCCCTTGTTCTACATATGGATGCTGAGCCTCTTCGTCAGTTCCTGCTACACGCTGACCTGGGACCTGAAGATGGACTGGGGCCTGCTGGAGAAATCCGTGGAGAACAAACTGCTGCGTAAAGAGATCGTCTACTGGGACAAGGTGAGGGAAGGTTCCATCATCGAGACACCCAAGACGCGTCTTACCTTACGCCGATGGATTTCAAATGAGTGGCTTTAAGAAAATGGAAGTGCTCAACCTTTCAAAAAGGTTCCATCAAGGAGAAATTAAAGCTCTTTCTTCATATGATTTCTGCTTCCAGTTGGAGGATTTCATATAAGAAGCTTTAAAAGCAGAAGAGCCCATACGGCTTTGAGAAAAAAATCCCTTTCAATCAATGGAGGTCTTTTTCCTGACCGATACATTTTCTCATTGCCTCTTTAGTATTACTACTTTGCCATGATGGAGGACTTCATTCTACGGTTTATATGGACCGTCAGTATCTCCTTAGCGCTTCTGGATGTGGTGCATGCCGAATTGCTACGAAGCATCTTAGCACCCTTAGAAGTATTCAGGTTAGTTTCACAGAGACCCCCTACCTATCCCAGAAGGAAAAGAACTTGAAGTTCTCTCCTCTAAATGGTGCCCTATATTGCAAATTTTAGTCACAAAAATTTCTGGCAACTGATGCCCAGTAGGTAAACATACACAGATTTTATTTTGGAACAGTGTCTGCAATGGACAGAATCATCAAGTGTCAGATTGCTCTCCCACCACACCTAACTAATATTTTCTGGCTGGAAGATTTCAGATCTTTTTTCAGGGTGGACCTCACCCCTTCGTACCGCAAGATATTAACCATATGCTGCCGGGGAGCCCGGTTTGAGGCACATAGGCTTTATACACGAAACTACCGGGGAGCCTGAAACCAGACAAAAGAGCTGGGCCTTGTAACAAAAGACCTTACTCAGAACAAAGGACTGAGCTGCTAGGAATTGCCAACATTTTTTTCAGCTGTCGATGGCGGAGGAAATCTGTCCTTATTTTGAGAGATTATATACCACTGTTTGTGGCATTCAGCATGAGCGGATTATCACCGGGGACAAAAGCGCTCTAGTGATGAGCGATACAATACCGCTGGATGCTAATCTGGCACCTATTTGAAAAGGCGCCAGTAGCACACCGTGCCAGTTTCAGGAACAAAAGAAAGTTACATAACACTGCACAATCTGGGCTCGTTTTACAAAGCGGCTGGCCTGACTGAAATAATGGGGCGTCCATAGATGTTGTCTGTCAGATTGGTCACCAGACAGTTTTTTGTGAGGGTGTAAATGTCCAGGGAATGAAGCCATGATTTTTTGAAGAATTTTGAAAACGAAAAATCTTGAAAATCACCCAGTTTTATGTCGTGCAACTTCAAATTCCACCCGGCAGCAAGTGATTAATGTTTACACAGCTCTTAATTAAGCATTCTTATAATTTGTACTGTACTTAACATTCACCATAATGCTAAATTATTCTCTCTGTTATGTGCACAATCGTATGTTGCATATGAAATCGCCTTGGGAATATTGTCTGTTCCGCCGTGCATCTTTTCACAGAAGCCTAGTCTTAATGATGGGGACCAGTTCAGTATTCTTACAACGTACAGCACATCCGAGGTCATTTGGGAACAGCAGTACGCGCTCAAAAGGTCTGCCATGTCAGCATGGCCATGCACCGAATCGCCTGCATGCTTTGTTCTCGAATAACTTTGTCATTTGGAATATCATACTGGGTCATTGATCAATCTTTTTTGGGGGCCTCCGTAGGAGATTTGTGTGGAACTTCTTCCGTCTGGAGAACGAGCACCTGAACAACTGTGGTCAGTTCCGTGCCGTGAGGGACATCTCCATCAAACCGGACAAGGAGAAAGAGGAGGAGAACCCCAAGCGGATGGAGGACATGATGGATGACGAGGGTCAGGTGCCACTCCACAAACACAAAGAGAGCAGAGGGGAAGTCAGGTAGGGTACCAGACTTTGAGATAGGGTGTGGGTGCTGAACACGAGGGTCTTATATCACTCTGCTCACTCAGGGATTGCAAAGACAGAGTCAAGTAGGTACCAGACCGTGAGAAGGGGTTAGGTGCCACACACAAAAGTTTGATGCCTCTTTGCAAACAAAATGGATAGCAAAGTAGTCAGGTAGGTACCTCGTTGTGAGATAGAGCACAGGTGCTGAACTTAAAGGTCTGGCGCCAAGTGCAAGGTGCCAGTTTCTTCGAGGAGTGGTTTAGATTCCGGCAGGTCATTCCAGATACGATAATGAAAGCTGTATGACACAAAAAAGTGAGGTAGCTTCCATAATGAAAAACTTCAGGAAAACAGGAATAATTGTTAGATATCAGATAGGAGATTAGCCAAAATTTTTCACGGGGGGAGGGGGAAACTACTTTTCCGGGGGGGTGGTGGTTTCCAGGGGAAGCACTCATCAGCTAAAAAATGATGAACAGTTAACGCCTGGAGGTGGTCGG